ATTCCATTCCATTCCATTCCATTCCATTCCATTCCATTCCATTCCATTCCATTCCATTCATCTCACACAAAGGATAGGCCCAGTCACCAGAGCCATAGCAAATGCTTTGAAGATGTTGTTGTTTTTTTTCTTGAGACAAAATTTTCAAAATTATCAATCAGTTCTTTTTGTAGTGTTCTATCATTGTAAATTTTGAATTTCTCTTACTTTCCTGCAACCAGTCACTTCTCCAAAGGATAAAAAAAACTTGGGCTTAACATGAAATCACTGGAAATTTAATTTTGGGAAAATCTGGGGAAGAAAGAAGGATTTACTCCTTACATTTTTTCAGTCCTGCATTTGTTTTCATTGGTTTTTAAGTTTAATTTACAATGAATAATGTGCTGCTCTTTCTTTGTTTCTTAGGTTTTCAACCACTCTCCATATTCAAAAATTTTCAGCATTCTCTGCTGCCTTGGGATTGTGTTATGTCTTGTCACATCCATAGCAGTGGAGTGGACTGGCTTGAAAGTCACCAAAAAGCTGCACGCTTCTTTATTGAATAAGATTATTTTGGCACCAATGAGGTATTCCTCTGATTGTAATACAAACAATTGTCATCATTCTGTATTCCTTATTTCAAGGCAGTCTCCTTTTTCTATAAAGTGGTTGTGATTCACGTTTTATAATGCATCACTGAAGGTCACCAAGTATCAAACTACTGAGCAAACTTTGATAAATGGTACCCAACCTCCTCAAGTTCGTGGACGGTGGTCAAGTGCCTCTCCTGTCTGACTGTGGCTGCAGATATTTACTTCCTAGCATCTTTTATTTCTCTTTGCTGTTTTAATTAAGGAGAAAGCACAATAATTGGAGATGCGTGGTGCAGTTCATGCAGAGTGCGTGTCATAATCTTAATCATGGAAGTATTTACTGTCAGCAGTGATTGTGCAAGCCCATGAAAGTCAGGGAGCCTGGATGAGTGTCATCACAGGCATCAGTGGAGCACACTGGGATTGCACAGATAGCAGGAAAGGCCTTTGTCCTTTGTGCATTTTATTTCCAATGCTGCCACATTACAATTGTAGCTTTATTCAAACCTGCAAGTGTTGAACATTTGAAGAATACTTATTTTAGTGTTAACGATATTTAGCTCAGAAGTCATGAGGAAAGGATAAATATTGAAAATGTCATTAAAAAAAAGCAAGCGCTTTTTTTTTTCCCCCCAAGACAGAATTAGACTTTAGATTCATCACAAGCTAGGGGACAGTTAACAACTACGCAGCAATAACGAAGTTTGTATGTTGGATGGGCAAGTGTAAAGGAAAGGACTTGTGATGCATTATGCCAGCAGTTGTTCTTATTATGCATTTTTATTCTCAGGAAAAAGTCAAAACTTGGGATTGAGCTTTGCTTGCGTTTTTCATAAACTGAAGAGTTTAAAATTGCAAACGTGAAAGCAAATGTAATCATGTGATTTACGTAGGTTGGGCAGTAAAGGCAGCTGAGGAGACGTTTGTTGTTGTTGGGGATGATCAAGATTGCTGTTCTATTGGGGAAGCTGTGCTTATGGGGAAACATGAGAAACTTTGCCATGTTTGTTGATTTACTGCCTTGTGTTTGTAGCACAGTGCATAGCTTATGAAAGACAGAAAAGAAATTAAGAACTAGTTTAGTGTGGGTGGTATGATTCTCCCATTCATTGCCTCATTTCAGGTTTTTTGAAACAACACCTCTGGGAAGTATACTAAACAGATTTTCAGCTGATTGCAACACCATCGACCAGGTACTCAATACATACATTTGAGCTCCCATGATACCTTATTTTTTCAGTCTGAAAAATTGCATTCTCTTATTTAGGTGAAATTTGCAGGTGATCTCTAATGTTGAATATTGCATCACTTTGCTTCACAGCTTTCTGGATTCCAAATGAATTCCTCAGCTTTAAATGCACACTGGAAAAACATTTATTTAATTAAGATATCCTGCAGTCATAAAAAGCTTTGCTTATTTTTTTTTCCATCTTATAGAAAAGGGAAGAGAAAGTAGATCTCAATATCCTTAAACTAAGAGCACCCACTCATTTAAAAAGTAGGTAAACCTGCTCCTTTCAGATATGCGAACAAATGAATTGAGAAAAAGGCAAATGCTGTTGCTTGAAATATTAATGACTGAAATTCAGATTTCCATGTTTATTCCAGGCTGCAATGCTTTCCCAAAATCCAGCGGTAAATTCAAAAGCAGACCTGTATGTTTAATGTTTCAAAGCTTCGATTTTATATATTTATTTGTTTGTAACTGTGGGAGTCTTATATGCTATGCATTTATTTCTCTGATTCTGTGTACTTCTTTATGTACCCAGCATATTCCTGCCACCCTGGAGTGTTTGAGTCGCTCCACTTTGCTGTGTGTATCTGCTCTGGCCGTGATTTCGTACGTCACACCAATGTTTCTCATTGCCTTGGTTCCCCTTGCAATCATGTGTTACTTCATCCAGAAATACTTCCGAGTCGCATCACGGTGAGAATATAGACCTGTGTCATTCTGGCTATTGAAACATCTTTTGCAGTGCATGATGGCAGAATTGCGAAGGGCCTTTATTTTTGTCAAAGGCATTGTCTTATCTGAAGGTGAGCAAAATCCAATCTAGTAAAATTTGTTGTTCTACAAGTGCATTTTGGCTGCAGCTCTTTGAACCAAACCTGGGAGGCAGGAGCAGGTCTTTGTCCAGGATGAAAGTTTCTCTCATTTCACATGACACAAGGGAGAGCTCATCGCAGCCTTACAGTATTTAAAGGGAGTTTATAAACATAAGGGAAATCAACTTTTTACATGGGTAGATATTGATAGGACAAGGGGAAATGGTTTTAAACTGAAGGAGGGGAGATTGAGGTTGGATGTCAAGGGGAAGCTTGATACTGACACAGGCTGCCCAGAGAGGTTTGTGGATGCCCAATACCTTGAGGTGTTTAAGGCCAGGTTGGATGGGGCCCTGGGCAACCTGGTCTAATACTTGATCTAGTGCCTGGCAACCCTGTGTGTGGCAGGGGGTTGGAACTTGATGTTCCTTGAGGTCCCTTCCAACCCAAGCCATTCTGTGATTCTATGAAAAAGAAAAGAAAGACGAATCAAAACAAAAAAAAATAAAAGCCAACAGCTTCTGTCCTCCCCAGGGGTTGCATGTTGGACATGTCCAAAAAATGTGGGGACAGAACAGAGAAGTTGATATTTCACCTGCCTGTCCAATTGAATGCAGAAGTCCATAGAGCCAGGCAGAGAGGCTGCAGAATGGAGCATTGCCTTGCTGGTGCTGCCCTTTGTTCCTGGTGGTTCCTGCACATGGAAACATCCTCACTTGTTCTGAGTGTCTTTTAGCATTCAACAAGTTAAAAATGTTAGCCACATCTGTGATTTTCTTCTCCTACAATTGTGCTGCTTCCCTTGTGGTGGTGCTCAACAAGCATTTGCAGCAGCACTGCATTTTTCCTTTTGTGTATGGATGGATCAAGAAGGACTCTTTGCAAGCAATTCTTAGTTCCTCTTGGAAGGACATGAGTCTAAATAGAATTTCACCCAATGTGTACTTCCACTGTCTTGATGACTAAACATGAAATTGAGAACTGCAAGTTCTCATTTACAGGGTCTGTGTATTGTTAGCTCAGTGTGAAGTTGTGCTGTCCTCTGGGGGTGGGGAGAGAACAAAGATGAAGTTGCATTTTGCCTTCTGCTTAGCTGGAACTCCTACTTGCAGTATCTCATTAAATTCGTATTCAGCATTGAGCCACAATTATGTTTAAATGAATAAAATATTGAATATAAGAATTAGTAACAGGAGAGAAGTGAGGGAAGGCAGTGAAGGGGAAAGATCTGTCCGGAAGTCCAGCACTGTGTGTAGTCGGGTTTAAAGAGAAAAGTCCTTCTGGGGACTTCATTCCCTGCTTAGAGACCTGCAGTGCTGCATTGCAGCCCATCTGAATGCTATGTGTGTCATTATTGTGCTAATGTTCCCAGGAGAATAACTGGACAACAGAACTGACTTTTTACAAAATTATTTTCGTGACCCTCTGTAGGGACCTTCAGCAGCTGGATGACAGCACTCAGCTCCCATTACTTTCCCATTTTTCAGAGACTGTTGAAGGCCTGACCACCATCCGAGCCTTCAGGTACGGGTTTTTAAGAAAACATTTCTTACCTCTCTTTTGAGCGTCCTTCTTTGGTTCTGTTCTGCAAGTGTGCAGGTGCAAGTATTTGTCATTTGAATCACCCAGAAATCCATGGTCCCCAAAGCACTGTTAAGGGAAAGTGAAACACCGAGGACTAAATATTTTGCATGTGAAGGAGCTACTATAGAAAACCAGGCTAATGTACCTTCTGCTTGTACTAACCCTGCACACAATCGCACGCAACCTGAAAAAAACTTTGTGGGTAAATGTGATTTAAGGAGCTAAATTGGCTTGCAATTACCGCAGCGTGTGTTGTGGCAGGCTGCGTATTTGGACAGTTTCCATGGCACAACGAATATGCAGCAACATGTTATGGCAGGATAATCTGTGTATGGGCCGATGTCCTGGTAAGATAAACTGTGCACGCTGGTAATTTCAGAAGCTACAAGTTATAGTTCAAGGTTGCTAGCTGAAAACGTGGTTGTTCAGATTGGTTTTGAAAATATGCAACTTGGAGATACAATCCTTATCATCTGTTCTGATGCATTTTTCTGCCAAGGTGAGCTCACAGGAGCAGCCTAGGAACACCTGATAACGTGCCTGAGCTGTGTATCAGTTACAAAATGGCAGTCGCTGATACTCACAGAGTTCCAATGAAGCTACTGCGGCGCTCACCAGCTGCTTTCTCTCTGCATTGGTGCTATTCCTGGCTTTTCCCAGTTGATTCAAATGCAGTCGAATGTCTTCCACGCCCATCTCATCTAGATATCTACACATTTTGCCAGTTAATTATTGCTGTTACTGTTCTCTCTTTGAAACAGTGCTGCTTATTATTCTTAACCTGCAGATTTAATTTAATAATACAATTAATGCAAAAATTAGACTATTTTTAAGCAATTCTAAATAGGATATAAACAGCAGAATGTAGGAACTACCAGGACAAAATCGTGTTTCTTTTTGGCTGAAGATAGCCTCCTAAAGAGAGGTAGAACAGCATAATATTTTCAAATTACTATTATTAGATATTTATTTTAAGTGCCAGCAGTGTTCTGTAGTTTGTAGCTATGTCTGTGTTCACTTTTAAGGAAATTCAATTTCTCTTTTAATTCTTGCTTTTCTCATTTACCTTATCTTTAGAGTATTATGACTGTATATTTTCAGTTGTTGACGCAGTAAATTCTATTGAATACCATCTGGCTAATGCTCTCAGCCAGTTGGACCATTCCCTCTTGGTCCTTCCTGTCACCTTGAGATGAATTCCCCCTTTAAAGAATTTTTTTCTGTGCTCTTTTTTTTTCTTGTACTCTGCACTAACGATGCATCTGTGACCCAAGCAGCTATGTGCTCTGTGAGTCCTGTACTCCATCTGCCTGCCAGCCTCCTGCATCAGCTGCTAACCTGCCTATTTATAGGCCTGCGAAGCTTCTCGGCTGCCTAACATATTAGTGGGAGTGCAGTTCAGACTTGCTCGCTTGAGTGGCCCTAAAAATAACGCTAACTCAGGAATCTAGTCATCTAGTTAGGTGCCAGTTGTTCTTTAGTTGCTCTCCATCCTGTACTTACTGAGAATGCATAGGGAAAGAAACACACAAAAATCCAAAGGGAGATCAGAGAGACAGCTACTGCTGCAGCTATAAATACACCTTCAGCAGATGCCATGGGCTGATATATAGCTTGCAAGTGTGTCTGGCACCTCAAATAGCATTGGTGCTAAGTAATCAATAAATTGTAAATGTGAAGGTTTCTGCAAAGACAGGGCTGTACTCGGAGAAACCGGAGAAGCTAGGGATACCTTCTGTGGACAGATTCTGGTATTTCTGCAGTGCCCCACTGACAACAGTAACTTTGTCTGCACCACTGCTCCGCATGCGTACTTGTAGGAGGTACCAAAGTTAAATAGGGGGGGTTCTAGAAGCAGCACGGCCATCTCCCAGTGGTAGAGCTCTGAGGGCAGTGTGTCCTGTGGACAGGCAGGGCCATCCAGCTGCAACATGGTGTGACGTGAGTGCTTGCTTGCTTTCAGGAGCGACCTTTCTACACTGTCCAAACACACCAATACATGTGGAGCCAGCCCAGGCCCTTAGCAGCCATTTTCTGTTACATACAGCCAACACGTCTGTTATGTCTGCACACACGGCTATACTATGTGAACTGTTACTTCATTTGCACAAAATCATGCTTTTTTGTCTGAAAAGCATAAACCATTTACGTTGGAACTTTATTACACTGTACTCAAAATAACGGTTTGGATATCCTGCAGCAGACAAATTTGAAACATACTTCATAGTTAAGCAAAATGTATCATTCCTTCCTATCAGTGTACCAGGAGCTGAGTTTATAAATAAGCAGTGCTTGTTACAAGCATCATATTGAAGGATGTAAGTAGGGCAAAGTTTATAAAACGGTCAGCTTACAGATGCATAATCTTCAGGCCTACAAACCTCTGTTACTACCCTGAAAAAGACTTTTGTGATACCTTTCCTTCATTATTAGATATAATTACTGACACCTTTCTTAAGATCACATTAAGTTATACCTGTGCAAATAAATATGCCCAGCTAAAAGAGGTGACTGGTGGATTTGTGTGCTGTCCAAGACCCCATCTAAATATGCGTAGCCAGGAGTCATCACCTTTCTTATCGGTTGTGTTCAAGGCAGAATTCATTCATGCAGCTTTTGTTATGAGTGGGTGCAGATCCACCATCAGAAGCTGTAAACAGACCTGTTTGCAATTGCTCTTATTTTGTGTTCTCTGGCTAGTTCATTTCTGAAGGTAAAAAATTTGGTTCTTTCCACTCTGCTGCATTTTGTTGGCTTTTTGTTTTCTGAAGTGCTCCATTCATTAGCAATAAGGATAAACGTGTAATTAACGCTGGAGCTTCCATGACCAGAGGACTTTAAGTTTATGCTTTAAACATGGAAGAGTCTGTTGGTACTACAGCAATGTGAGCTGAAGTTTTAAAATTTAATCTGAGAAGAAGAACTGCATTCTACGTGCACTCATACTTCTTTTCACAAGTACATGCATGGCCTATTTCTGTTTTGTTTTTCATTTCAGGTTTGTCTTTCTCACAGTTGCCATGTAATAAAATAATTAGAAAATGCCCCACTTTTCAGAAGTTGTGCACGGAGTTCTACCAGTGCAATAGAACCCATTTACTCCTGAAGTTAAAAATGCAGTATATATATGTCAAATACAAATCTGTGCATGATGTTCCTGAACTACGGACTTAAACTTCTGAGTCAGGCTCTCCATGAACACAAACCACTCTAAATTAACTTTGCTTTCTGATTTACCAAGACCCAAGGCCTGACTGTTTTCTGATTGGTTTTGATTGCTGTTGTTTTTGCTTTTTTTTTAAGGTATGAAGCTAAATTTCGCCAGAAGCTTCTTGAATACACAGATTCCAACAACATTGCTTCCCTTTTCCTTACAGCTGCTAATCGCTGGCTGGAAGTCCGCATGGCAAGTACTTTCATGTTTAGTTTTTCTCTTGTATACACAGTGAATTGATTTCACTTTATTCCAAGCAACCTAAGAAAATGTCCAACTGTCTTGCAGCCACATTTGAGTTTTGATGCTGTGCCCTTACCTCTATGTATATCTGTAATGAACATGTGCCCTCCCATCCAGAAGTCTGAACAGAGTGTGAATTTTTCCTGTAACCTGTTGCTATTTCTCCAAGACTGGAATAATTATTGAAGATTGCACTGGCTCCTTTGTGTACAGAAGAGTATCAGGAGATCTGGTCTGACAGTTTTGCCAGCTAGAATGCCTTTGAGAAACTGTCAGTCACTGCTAGCAGGCCTTTGCCTTGTTGCTCTACAGGAACATTTCAGTATCTTTGAAACTCTTAATAAGCAGAACGATGTAGGCAAGTTTCTGCTTGGTTTGGGTCCTCTGAAGAGTGCAGAGATACTCAAGTGCCCATTTCCTTAGAATTCTCCAACAAAGTGGCCTGGCATTAAAAAAAAAAAATACATTAAAAATAAATCATTGAAAAGTAAATCAAGGAGTTTTGTGTTGTGAATGACAGGATGCAGTACTGCCATTAAAGGTTCACAAAGCATAGAGGAATGCAAAGTACACATATAGAAGAATAACAGCTTCCCTCCTACAGAGGTCATTTTCTAGTCTGTTATATAATTTTACTCAAAGACTTCTCTGTGAGAAGTTGAATCACAGTTTTAATTAAAGCAGCAAAAGCCATCCTGGAGAGACACAATCTAATAGTTGCATTCTGTCCAAGAACAGCTTGTTTGAACAAATGTGATGGTTGCACCCAGAAGAGACTACAGTGTTTCCCAGCTGTCTCTCATTAGAGAGGATCTGCTCACAAAGGATCATGTGGGCATTTCTCTCACCTACCTCAAGTTTTTTCGGCCATCTCCATCATATGCTTAACATACCTGTGTTGACTTTTCTAGAAGATAGGAGTGTTGGTACAACTCCAGTCTACAAAAGCATTTCCAAACAACACATCTATGCTAACAGCAATACAAATAGGTTCTCAGGCAAGGTCTGTATAAAGTTATGGGGTGTTTTCTGCCTATATGTTGAACTGTGCAATGGGTTTGTGTTTTGCTATGCAGTTATGAGAACGTTGTCATCCTTGGTAGACTTGTAGTGATGGAGCTTATTCATGTTCCTTCAGGAGTACATTGGAGCATGTGTGGTACTCATAGCAGCTGTCACTTCTATTACCAGTTGCCTGTATAGTAAACTCTCTTCAGGACTTGTAGGCTTGGGACTAACCTATGCTCTTATGGTAAGAAACTTAGGACCCTTCTTGTCTCTCCCAAACATGTTTTTATAATTCTTCAGGGCACAGAGATGAACAGGAAGATTGAAGGTGTCTATACATCTCTCCGTGGGTACTGTAACATCACTGAAACCATGTGTTAACTTCAGTGCACATTCAGAGGTTGACATATTTGAGTATATACTTTTTCATTTTCTAGATAAAATACTCACTGAAACAGTAGTTCAAATATGTCAATAAAAATACGGCCAGGCTGCATTACTTTTGGTATTATTTTCCATTGTGAAGAATAATGTTTCAGTGCATCAGTTGTAATTATGTCCCAGTACATCGTTCTGGACTGTCAAAGTGTTTTATTTAGCAAGATGATGTCTTTTCACCTGTCTTTGCTTTTTCTCTTTCTCTACTCGTATCCATAGTACCAAAGTCTCTGTGCACTGCAGTTAGGAAGTTTAAGCCAAAGTCATTGTCACCCTATTGATGTGTACCATTCTGTTTGTCCACCACTTCAGCTCGTCAAGGCTGAACAGTTGTTGCTTTGGAGAAATATAAGCTGCATGCTGGTCAAATGATGCCAACTACTAAAAATCTGGAATTTAGGAGTTTATTTGCTTTACATCAGGTGTCTAACTATCTGAATTGGATGGTTCGTAACCTGGCTGACATGGAGATCCAGCTGGGTGCAGTGAAAAGAATCCATGGCCTTCTCAAAACAGAAGCTGAAAATTACGAAGGGCTTCTTTGTAAGTGCAGTTTTGTGCAGCATGCAGAAAGAGCTTGCTGAAATTTTAATGATTTTGCAGTGTATTACCATGAATAACTTAGTAAATCACTTAATGAGCTGATGAATTTATCATAGAAGGGTTGTTGGTTTATTTTTTCCTTCCCTTGTGTTTCTGGTGTAGCGTCCTCACAGATTCCTCAGAACTGGCCAGACAGAGGCGAGATCCAAATCC